TTTGATATCTGTACGTTCGTGTTGATCTAGACTCCAATTTCATGTTGAAAGCACTCTTAATTAAATTGTACAATTCATGATTCAACGAAAAGACGGTGGATTTAGTCTTCCTGGCCTCAAAAGACATACAGGAAAGCTAGCTCTAGAACAGAATTGTATCAAGGTTATCAGTGACAAGTCAAATTCTATGGCTATGTTTTTGCGAATCCGGTCAGATATATTTTTTACATTTGAATAAAGAGAATAAACGAAACACTTTATTTAATCATTAACTTGAAGTTGACACAGCGGAGTAAATTTACCTCGAGCCGCTGTAGCGAATTTGAGGAAAGCTATAAATATTTCCAGTGTTGAAGGCTCTTTACCCCCCGTCTTTCATCACTTTCGACTGGTTACGGCTAAAATTACTTGATATTGATGTATCATAGCGACCTTTTCAACCGCTAGGTCAATTATGAAATTGTCACAGAACTGGAGTAGGTTTTACTATTTTTGCTGCTTACTTACGTTAATGCAGTCAAAGTTTGTCGTTTAAAAAAGTCCAAATAGATAAAATACTCCATTTGCCCTCATCGTGAGACTGAGGCTTATACATTTTGATTTATTTAAAGCGTTTAAAATTTATTGCCTAACTAGGGATGTCTCCGTGGCGCAATCGGTTAGCGCGTTCGGCTGTTAACCGAAAGGTTGGTGGTTCAAGCCCACCCGGGGACGTTTTTTTCCTTCTGTTTTAGTTTTTCTTTTTCAACACCGTTTGCAACGTTTTGCATTTTTACGCTTCTTTTACAATTTTTTAAATTTTTTTTCAAGTTTTCTTTCTCCACGAAGTACATCACCAAATAAAAGTTCGAATTTCTTTTTTTGCCGATAAACGCGAATCGATCGAGCAGTCAGTGGACGTTGCTTATTCTACCGAGCTTCCGTAGCCGACTTCTACTGAATTCGCGAGGCATTATTGCGATAAGCTATGGAACTAACCTTTAAACTATAGGACTTTTAGTATCCGAAATAATGGAAGCCGTACGTATCGTATTTGAATCGAACCGGAAAAGGGAAAACCGGAAATGGTGAATGGCCCTTCGTACTAAGCTGACTAATTAAACGAGTGCCCAACGAGTGTCGCTGCTGAAATTCTGTTGTTGACATACAGTAACTGACAAATTTATTTATTTCAAACATTTCTGAATTCTGCTCCTTGATGAAATATCATTAGAAGTTTCATTTCTTGCGTGAGAAGGTGATAATTTATTCACAATGATTTAAATATTAAAAGAATATCTTTAAAACTAGACCGCGGCCCTGTGGCCCAATGGATAAGGCATCTGACTACGAATCAGGGGATTCCAGGTTCGAGTCCTGGCAGGGTCGATTTTTTTTACCCCTATTTTTTTTTTCTTTCTTTTCTTTTACATTTCATTTCATAATAAAAATGTACGTATCATTTTCAGCGTCAATTATTAAACCACGAGCGAAGGCGATAAACGTGAACGGAAGGAAATATGTATGGTGACGACTGACGAATATGTAACTTGGAAATAATTTCACGCGCATATAGTCAAAATTATTAGAATTTTGACAAAACGTAAGTGAAATTACTTCCCCATATCACGAGTATACCATTTGATTACCTTCTAATATCGTGGGTGACAAATTACGCTTACAATCGTGGGCTTTTGACTAGTTTTATTGTATCGAGAAATTTCACGCCAAACGTTGCCATGGCAATTTGGTAATTTCGCAACAAATCAAGGAGTAGTTTGCGCATGCCCCCAATGATATTTAAAATTTACTTACCTGGCCCTCCACAAATAAAAGTTTCACATAGCGTGATACGAATTTTTTTTTTTTACGCGAAACGATGACCTTCATCTGAAATCGAGGAAATGTAGATTGTCAATTGCGTCACAATACTCTTTTTAACGGCGGTGTGAAAAGACTGTGTAGGATCGCCCCTGCATTGTAGATTATAAATTCCATTATAATTAGTATGGGTGCGTAGGGCCTGCGTTACAATTTTCGCGGCCTACAAAAATGCTCGGAACGTCACGGCCGGTTCGTCATTGTAGCTAAAAAAGATACGGACAATTGTTTTGTCTACGAAAGTTGCTTTTTCAGTCGCTTTAGCCTGTGAACGAAAGTAAGCTTTTCAAATTGTTGATGATGAGTGTTTGAGTGTTTGAATGTTTGAAATAAAAACAATAAGAACTTGTCGATATCATTTCTCTGAAGCTTTCGGCAATATTCGGAGATCTTCCCGAAAATTAGAAAATGTTCGGGAATGTTAGTATCATCTTCGTGAAACACTCGGACAATCTTCGGAAAACCTCAGCAACAGGAAAATGCAAGAAATTTTGCAAAGGGGATAAAAGGAAAACATATAGCTCAGCAAAGGAAAAAGTTGTTCGAAACATCAGGAGTCGCACTAACTCTGACTGAAGTTCCAATTCCTTTTAAGCTCAAGAGTCCACGAGACCTCAGGGAAAGGGTTGCCAGCGTGTCCCCCACGAGAAGTCCTTCGCCTTCATCTCCACGACTACAGCCATGGCAAAGACGGGGAACGATATCACGTGACACGCCGCCCAGAACCATGGACACGCAATCACGGGGGCGGTTATCAAGGAAGAGTAAAAGCATGCAAGAACTAAACAGCGTTTTCGTAGACGGCCGCAGCCCTTCCTATTCCAAACCGACTTCCTCGTCGATTCGGAAACAGAGCGTGAGTGGCGAGAATTCTCCCAGAGATGTTGGCTCCGGTGGCGCAGAACAAAACCGCAGAAAAAGCTTAACAACCAGTTCTCGGAGATCGTCCAACGCTGGAGGACAAGGAGAATCTTCGACGGCCAGAAGTCGCTTGAGTTCCAGCGGACCTGTTGGCTCACAGAGGCCAGGGCCTCCAACGGTATCTAGGAGCGCCTCTTTCGGCTCCAGACCCCGCACCCTGATCCCCGTGATGGAACCACGCTCGAAAACTATGGTCAGCTCAAGGCCTGCAAGAGAAACGCAAAGGAGAGCGTCTTCGGCCCTACCTGGAAAAGTTGAGAATAAGGGTGAGTATTGGCAACGAAATTTAATATCCTATGGGTGCGGCGAGGGGGGGGGGNGGGTGGGCTGCTGAGGGAAGATAGGATCGGGAGTGGTAGGGATGTTATGGTATTGGTGAGCTGTATGTAACATGTTTACCTCCACTTTCAGTTTTCAAGTTGGAGGTACACCCGCAAAACAGAACATTTTTGCAAAAATTCTCAGGCCCAGGATTTTATTTGAAACCTTAGAAAACTATCCCTCTCCCAAGTTTTGACGTTTCTAGGAATCTCCGAACATTGCAGATATCATTCGAAAAAAAAAAAGCAAAACAAAACAAAAAAAACAAGCTTAAGCATGTTCACTCTCTGGGCTAAGCAAAGACCCCGGTCAGTACTCAAACCTGGTATAAAGAAAGCTATGTGGACCTGTCAATATGAGGCGGGATTGGGGGGGGGGNGAAGGTGGGGGGGTGGGCTCTCCTCATTTATAGCTGCGCTATCTAGCGTAAACTACGTATCTTTTTAAAAATTATTATTTTAGCGAGAAAGAATTTTTAATTTAGTTTATTTTTATCATTGTACTTTGTATTTCTAACTCGTAGAACTTTCTTTTTAGCTCTTTTACTTTTGTAAAGCGCTTAGAACAGATCTGGAGAGGCGCTATAGAAATATCCGATTATTATTAAATATCTATTATTATTATTCCTACATATACATCGTCGTATTTTGTAACCGTCACTTCTGAAGATGTATGTTGAAGCATACGAAACGTCAAGTTTAATATACCATTCGAAATCTGTTTGTTATGTTTGTAACCGCTGTTTCATAAAGGCTTTTGTTCTTGGACCATCGTAATTTAACGAGGAATAAAACACAAATAGCGGTGATAAACATATTAAACTTACGCATTTTAATAACTTGACGTTTCGTATGCTACGCAACATACATTTTCAAAAGTGGAATAAAGACCGTTACAATTTTTTGAAAACTATATATGAAATGTAAATAAGGGGTCTGGAAACGAGATTAAGCTTAAGCCGGCTCTTAATGTAAACGTCAGCAGTGAGAAGCTGATACTTTATTAATAAGCTTAGGCTTTTATTGTTTTACTGTTAGGAAACAGATGTTTCTTAATCTCGTTTCCAGACCCCTTATTTACATTTCATATATAGTTTTCAAAAAATTGTAACGGTCTTTATTCCACTTTTGAAAATGTATGTTGCGTAGCATACGAAACGTCAAGTTGTTAAAATGCGTAAGTTTAATATGTTTATCACCGCTACTTGTGTTTTATTCCTCGTTAACCGCTGTTTGTTTTCTCTTTCTCCTGAAATTGAAATGGCCGAAAAACAAGAATTTTTATGATGATAAATCGTCGTGTTTCATTGTATCTATATAATTTTTTTTTCAGCGGATGAAATTCGGCGGAGAGAGGCTAAAGCCAGACGAAGATCATCTTCAGTTACGGTCGATGGGAAGGGACGCGCACCCAGCTCACCAAAACCTGCGCAGAGATCAGAGAAAGATAAACAAGAGAGAGGTAGGAAGCCCAGTGTTTCAGCGATCGATGCGAAGGGACCGTTACCTGGCTCACCGAAGCCCACACAGAGGCCAGCGGAAGATAAACAAGAGAGAAGTAGAAAGTCCAGTGTCTCCAAGATACCCAGTCCCCGGCACAAACCGGAGCAGCCTGTTACGTCTGCTTCTAGGAAAATGTCAACGGGAAGTACAGCTCACAGGTCCCTTCCTTCTACACCAAGAGAGAGAAAATCTTCCACGACTCAAAATAGCGCCAAAAATAACGCGGTTAAAGGGCCAAAAACCAGCGCTGTGACAGAGAAGACAAAAGGACAGCAAACCCCGCCCACTTCACGCCGCGAAAATAAATCGGTTATTAAGAGAAAGGAGCTGGCAGATACAAAAACCAATGAAAACGTTGGTAAAGAAAGATCGACAAAAATCGGCCATGAGGACGAGAAAGGGAAGGCATTGAACGATGAACAAATTAAGGACGATGTTTTTAACATTTGTGATATTTCCATATGCGAGGATAGTGTTTCAAATGGACCACTGAATGGTAAATCTGAAAACTTTAGTGAAAATTCAGACACGATTGACGATATTTCTAGTACCAGGGACATCACCTCGCCGGATGGAAGGTTTTCGCCAAAGCTCACAGTGAACGGAGGACGGAAAACGTCCGAATGCTCCTTAGAAACTGATAGTGACGTCAACAGTGATCTTTTGAGTGACATGACAGACACTGATTACGATTTTAGGAGTCAGCGGTTTTCGGGTCTGTCCGAAACTTCAAGTGATGTATCATTCGGTACCAGTCCCGCTTGGAAGTTATTCCACTCCGTCGAACTCGACAAGAATGTCCCGGAGCCAGATAGCTCAGAATTGGGAAGCTCGCTCAAAGACTGTCTAATGAATCTGAATCTGCAAGGCTCCGTTACACCAACAATGAAAAGACGCATTTTCGATGCTGCCCCAACAAGAAATCCAAAGGAGGAATCGCCAGATTTAGCGATGGACTCTGAGACTCCACCTGTAGACAAAGCGGTCTTCTTTGATATCGAGCATTACAATGATAAGTCGCCCGACGAAGAAGACGCCATCGTTGGCTCGCCTCGTAAGTGGTCACTTGTCAAGTCCCTTATTAGCAGCATCGAAAAACGAAGCAGTAGCAGCACTTCTACTTCTAGAGCAAGCAAGAATGCTGCAGCCACTTCCAGGGCATCTGCTCCAGGCACCACCGGCAAACACCTTGGAATGGATGAGTCAGTGGTTACTACTCAGAAGACCATGAACAACCACAAGATGCCTCGTGCCAGACCTTCCCCATTCAACGACCATACTGAGGTATAGAGGTTATAATCTAAAAGTACCAAATATATATTTTTGAGTTGGACCAAAGACATAATTTTTTTATTGTTAGAAATAATTTTTCCTCTTTCGTTAATTTTGCTAGGTTATTTAGATTTCTTTGGTTGCACTGATGCTTGTGTTGCAGCTATCCATTGTTAAGCCCTAACTCCACCTTTAAATCTTGTATTCACTAAAACTTTCAGGATGAATCTGTTGAAGACGTGATGGCGGGAGCCGAACACCGCACCCCATTCCCTGAAGGGGAGCTCGTCGCTCCACGTGACACTGTAATATGTGACTTCAACAGGAATGTCTCGAACTCAACGCAAGGAGAAAGCGATGAAACTTGGGCAAATCCGCGGCGGATTCCAGGGGAAAAACCACTTGAGAGTTTTGAAAGCATTAATCACGGTGTCAAAGCAAGGAAGTCGTCACGCGAGTCAAGGCGAAAGGAGAAAGAGTTGGACGTGTTTCCTCGGCCTCAGCGTCAGTTTACTCTTGAAGAAATGATCCAAGACATGATGCCCGCAGACGGCGAGTCTAAGGAGACTGGAGACCAGCGAATGTTGTCCCCCGAACCTCGATTTCAAGCTTGGTTGTAGGCATATATGGTGCTAAATTGATTATTCGTTATGGAGGATTTTAATAGTGACCGACCCAAAACAGCTTTTTCAAAGTGATTCATGCTGTTCGAAAAGTCTATACATAGACTTGTGGTAATCGTCAGTAAGCTAGCTATATAAAGCAGTTTCTTTAATTTATTTTGCGCTGCCCATAGACCAAAATTTTTCCACAGCTAAGTGCATTTGAATATGATATTTTTCATTACATAATCAGTTGTATTCTCACGACTTGGTTAATTGACTTGCTTTAAAGAGATAAATGATGAAGCTAAGAATTGATAATTGCTTAATTTGTCTAGAAGATTAATTGTTGAAAAAAATATTCCCAACCGGTCAAAGTATAAATATACGACTTTCGGCTTCAAGTATCTGACCAATTGCTAGGAGTGTACCACAATGATAGTAATCATTATGGACTGTTAAGAGTGAGGTTACAATTTTTTCGCATAACAGGTGCATAAATTATTGTTATTTGCATGGAAATCAGGGCATCATTTTTCGCTTGCCGATCGCTGGAAACGAAGGCAGTGAACTAGGAAACATTTATTGCCATTAAGTATCACATGATGTTAACGTTTGAAATGTTATTTCCATTTTGTAAAAGATTAATTAAGCTTGCTTCGAGAAGAGATAAATGACTTAAAGACTACCAAGTGTAGCTATTTATAACAGAAAATATATTATGTTTGGGTGTGAAAATTGAGATTAATGCCTTGCATTTGCATATCTATGTTAATTGTTCAGCTTAGGTGGAATGTTAGAGAATGACGAAGGGCGGGGTGGGAGATTATGTACAAGTTGAGACTTGCGATCAGGGGCCCGTTTCTCAAAAGCCCCGGAAACCTTTCGGGCCCGTAAAGCCATTTTTAGTCCATCTGTATCTAAAAACGGAGAAGTGTATACGCCTGAAACTTCTTGTATGAAGGGAACTTCTCTTCATATTAAGAATATGTGAATAAAGCAGCTCTGTAATCGTAAGGTTCGAGATTTTGCTATGGCTTTACGGGCCCGAAAAGTTTCCTGGGCTTTCGAGAAACGGGCCCTAGTTCTTTGATATGGGTTTAGCGTGCAGTGCAGGCGCTATTCTGGAACGGATCTAGATAAACCAGGTTTTTGATGCCACTTTCTTGGATTGTAATTGGACGGGTTACTCTCTCGGCACATTTTCCCTCGCCCCAAGCCTCCACAGCTACTAAATCCAAGATGGCGGCCTACAGCGAAAATGTGCACTTGCACGCCAATAACACGCCTTTTAATGTAGGGGTAATTTCTTGACAAGCTGAGGGTAATAAGAATGTTCGCGATGAACCGGATATAGTATGTTGTAAATGGTTTGAACCCAGGAGTATCAGTAGTTCGTATAGTGTGATCGTCCGGGTGAGTGTAGTTCTGAAAAGAACTGTTGGTGGTGATTGACGTTTCGACAACCTGAGCGGAAGTCATCTTGAGAGTCAAGTGATACGGCTGATATCGATTGCAATGTCAGCACAGTTTTGATGTTTAAAGAAATGAAAAGACAGAATGAAAATGAGTAGACAATGAAAACTGGTTAGCACTTGAAAAAACATGTGGTAATATACTGTTCAAAATTCGGTTTTTAAAAAAAAAAAAAAAAAAACACATAGGATTTGTGTTAACTTCTAGTCTTCCCCGCAGAACCTTATTGTTCAAGACCAAGTGTCACGGGAACAAGGTAAAGACCAACCTCGTTCTCATGGTTCAACAAGATGGCGGATAATTAAAAGTAGTTACGTTTCAGAGGACACACTGACTGTGAAGCTGATGGCATCAAGTACATTCCTGATAATGCGTGTCTACCTCTCCATAGCCGTTCATCCTCTCATCTCGTGTTTTAAATTAGTGATGTGATTTGAAACACGTTTACTTTCAAGTTTTACTTAGTTTGCGGAAACATTATTATGCTTAGCATTGTTTCGAAAGTTTATCTTTCTGTCACGGTTTTTCACAACGGAAATCATTTTATTTCTGGTTTTACTCGAATTTGTAAAAGGCAATGGCTCTTCCAGAAATGAAACGTGTTTTATTCCACATTCTGACGTTACAAGACATCCTTGTTAGAATAAAAGCTTTGAAACGCAGCACCGGGTTCTCAAAAGCTAAAAACCTTAAAGCTTGAAAACAAAACAAAAAGATTTAAGATTAAGAATCGCAAAACAAGGCTGCTACTCTCTTCAACCTCCACGAGACACGTTGAAAGCCAAGGTCGTCCTCTTACGGTAGTCGTGACGTTTTTAGTCGTCACGCAGGCTTTTCTGCGTGACGAGACAGAAGAATGATCAGTCCTAAAACATCCACTTCCATTGACTTTAATGTCACCACCTGAGGGTGCAAACCTAGCGGTTCAAATTACATTTTTCTTTTAATAGCAGGCCTGCATGCACATCCTGAACAGCACATGTAAAATTCCTTGAACTGATCAAGTTCTTCACCGAACTTGATTCGCGGAACATGTCAAATCTACCGAGCAAACCACCGCTTTGTACTCTTCCTGCAAGATATTCTTGAACAGGTTTCACATTTTTCGATGACATATCTCGGAATCATCGAAAACTTCAAACCTAACAACCCTGGCACACTCAAACTGATCCGCCAACTGTCCTAACTATTAATAGGATTAGCCCCTGAAACTCCCTTTATGTACATTTTTGAGTTATTTTTTTGTAAAAAAAATACCTCTTAGTCGGCGCGTCGGGTATGTTATGGACGGNTTTTCTCGACTTTTTCATAATTCTATATATGGTGACTTGTTTCACACTATTTAAGAGTTTTTTTTTGTGGCAAAGTTGGAACCGGGTCAAAAACGCGAAGCTTTAAGGTATAGTGGTTTTTACAAGTTAAATAGAATCTAGAAATTGTGGTTGTTAGTCTTCTAACTTGATAGATGCAAAGTCAAAATTATCATAAAACTTAATGTTCAAAATGGGATACAAAAATACATTTTCTTACCATTGATTTGGTGAGTTCAAAGGCGTTCAGCGACCCACCAAATCCAACCTCGCAATCGGCAACAATGGGCAAAAAGAAGTCAATGTGTTTATCAGATCCTTCCATGTGAGCTATCTGATCCGCTCTAATGAAGGCGTTGTTGATTCGTTCAACAAGTTTAGCGGCTGAGTTGGCAGGATACAAACTCTGATCAGGGTATGTCTGCCCAGCCATGTTACTGTCTGCCGCTACTTGCCAGCCGCTGAGGTAAATGGATTGTAAACCGGCCTTGGCCATCTGAACTGCTTGACTGCCTACAGAAGTAAACATGCATAGATCTGCTTGTTTGTTTGTTGGAAAGGAATGTTATCTGCTTACTTTATGCAGCCTTTATAGGTACACTGTCGCATGCTTTCATGTTATTTATTCTTGTTTTATACATTAATGATCCAGTTGTTAATTATCATTTAATTTGACAACGAAATTTTCGTATGTGTTGCTGGCGGAATCATGCATGCGTTTATTCATGTCGCGACATTCTTTTAAAAACAAACGTCATCGCCGGTTTAGTTTTGTTACTTACCCAGCAACTTCTTGAGTCAACAACCAAACTTGTTGCCTACTTTACCATAGTTTGTTTCAGTTTTCGAGATTGGCCTGGATTATTTCTATGTCACAAAAAGCTATTTACTTATAGCTCAATATCGTAGTTTATCCCCAAGCGGAGGACTGATAGCCGCACTGTTAAACATATTCTTCTTTTCACGAGCCGCCTTAATTGTTAATGTTAATAAAAATAACAAAGCGGTTATATTTGACGCAGTTATATTTAACTTATACGCCTGGTCAAATGATACGAAAAATTATCTGAACTTCTTTCCAATGTTACTTTTTCTCGTACCTGTCATGGCACCCAGCGCGTTCACGTAAGAGCCTTCTTCTTGATTAATCAGCTCCCAAAACCTCCCTGCTCCTCGTCTCGCTAACGTTTTCTCAATCTTTAGAGATCCGCGAAGTTTTTCCACGTCTTCGGGACCATAGTCCCTTCGAATAGCCATGAATCCATAGTTTCGCTTGGTACAAACTCTCAACACTACTTTAAGTGGCTGAAATGTCTTCAAACCCAGCATACCCTGTTGACACCGTGAATTAAGGCGTTCGATAAAGCTATACTGTTTGCCGAACTTCGAAAAGTGAGTGTTCCCTGTAGTGACAAGTGATCATATATTCTTCAATTAATGACGTCAAACTACGTAAAAGCAGCAGGAATAACTTAGGTTCAATTTGCAATTTTCGCCAGAGGCATCTAAAATCGAGAACACGTATTTGCAATGTTTAAAAGCATATCTATAGATTCTAAATAAAAAAAAGATGCAATAACAATTGATTTTGTAAAGAATCTTTCGGCACGACCGCCTAACGGAAGTGGGTGGTTTGACCAAGAGACCGCCATGGTCGTGGTCTCCTGGTTTGATCAACCAGTCTACGTGACGAGCCTGACCGGACGGAAAAACATTCATCCAGGACATGCGACAAGTTATTTGCATTACAAGGTCATTTTACTACAGCGTACTCAGCAATTTATACTGAAAAATAAACAACGGATGAAAATTAGAACAGAAACTATAAGAACTAAACGACTGACTTCATAAACTATGCAATCTGCAGAACATACGAGGGAACGACATTAACAGGAACACATAAGAACTATAGGAGCGTCAGAACTGAACTACTAACAGAAACTACAAGAATTGGCAGTTTTTAAATTATCACGCTACGGGAAAAAATTAAAGCAACTAGAGACTACTGAAACAGCGCGCGGGGGAGTGTTACGAACTGAAACCACAGAAATCACAAGAGAACTCTATGTAATTTAGAGAGACTGCAGCGCTACTCGCACGGTGGGTACACTGAAACTGCGAAAACTGCATTGAGCGGCTGCGGATTGAAATTACAGGAAGTTCCCAGTGTAATGTTCAAAACCCTAACATTCTATGACTGAAATCGGACGATCTAGAGAAACAAACGATGATAGTTAAATTCTCTTAACGTATTCGACAAATGTATGGAAAGATGAACGCTCGATCGATAACCAGGGGAAACGCATTTCATGGAGTAAAGCATGTACACTGTCCTGTCATTTAGGAGTAATCATTACTGTGAGAAATAAGAGAGATGGTGAAAATTCCCAAATTGCTCAACCTCGACTTTGGCCGATAGTCCCTACCAAAATAGTGAATTTTGTTAAAAAGTCACATGATCAGAAATAAATCCATGTAGTAAAATTTTGATTTCAATCTGTCGTGAACATCATGGAATTCAGTGATTCACTCAGTTCAGTGCTTATTGGAAGCAGGTTTGGTTTAGAGATTTGCTGGTTCTTTCGAACGGCAGATACTAAGCCTTCTTGATTTGAAGTAGACGTGAGGACAAGGCAAAAAAAATCAATACTAAATTGATTTTCGGTGTTATAGTGTTTAATTATAATTCGATCCACGTACAATCTCCAGGATGTATTCATTATTTTACTCCGTTTTTACGCTTGATCATCGATCCGTTGTAAACTTAATTTAGTCCCTGCGGATAAAGCTCTCTAAAGGTTTTACCTTAGCCTTATGGGTGGCTAGCATTCCAAACGAATGAAATTGTTAGCAATTGATGACAATTAATGATATAGCTAGGTTTCACCTATTGTCAGTGAATGCATTGTTGAGCGTCGTACAGGGATATTCTCGTGATGCGTGATTAGCTGATTTTCCGTGAAACGTGAATTTAGGAAATGATTCTTCGTAATCCGTGACCTGAATGTTATCCGTGCCCCGTGAAGAACTTGAATTATTAACCGATATTCATGATTTCACCACTCTATTCCACGTGATTTTGAGACCCGAGTCCTCCGAATGGTTAGAGTCGTCTATCGAGAGTGACTTAGCTATGCAATTTGCAATATGGAGCCTTGACGATTTTGCTTTCTTCAAACACTCTTTCTAGTGTAAGTACAGGTTATTAAAAAGAATATCTTACTAGCTTATTTACGTGATTCGGGAAAACGAAATTTTTTATATCCGTGATCCGTGATCCTCCGTTTTCTCCGTTCGTGAACCGTGCCAGAGACCCCCCCTGTACGACCCTCATACGTTGCCAATTAGACACTGAATTGTAGGTTTACAGTCGCCTGCTCGCTTGGCATTAAAGTGCTATTAGCTAAAGGACAGACCAATTTTTTCATAAATACTTCAAAGACATATTGAGAACACTGATGTCATTCAAAGGACTTTCTTTCTTTGGTTTACTAAAAGAATTTCAAATTGGTCTTAAATACGCACACTGTACAACTGATACTAGTTAGTCCGATCGACATCATGAACTCTACTTACTGAAAAATGCACTCTTCAATATATTTTCAATATATTAATGAAGTATTTTTGAAACACTCTTATCAACTTCAAATTGTTTTTGTTATCATTGACAACTAAATAGCTTTTGTAAACTTCTTACTGTCGTTTCACTTTGTTATATACATTGAGTACTTACAAACGTCATTTACAAACTAAATCTCTGATTAATTTTTAATGAACGGAAAACTTTTCCGAGTCTGAGTTGTTTTCAGTGAATTGTTCTTGCTCAGTTGATCCTTCTAACGCTGTTGTCGAACTTGTTCCTCCGCTGATCGCCATACTCACTTGGTCAAAATATCCCGTGCCTACCTCCCTCTGATGTTTGTGTGCCGTGAAGCCGAACTGCGCCTGCGCAAACTCGTCTTCTTGTACCTTGGTGTAGGCAGACATACCATGATCTCTGTAGTCACGTGCAAGCTTAAACATGGCGTGATTGAGCGAGTGGAAACCAGCCAAGGTAATGAACTGATATTTGTAGCCCATTTTACCGAGTTCTTTCTGAAATACAGCGATCTCTTTATCGCTGAGGTTGGCTTTCCAGTTGAAGGAAGGAGAGCAGTTGTAGGCAAGCGGTTTGCCTGGGAACACAGAATGGATTCCGTCAGCAAACATGTGAGCTTCTTCCAAGTCAGGTTTGCCTGTCTCGCACCAAATCACGTCGCAGTATGGAGCATAGCTTAGTCCTCGAGCGATGGCTTGTTGTAAACCTGCAGTTGAGCGATAGAATCCCTCGGGAGTTCTTTCACCGGTCAGGAATGGTTGGTCACGTGGATCAATATCTGACGTGACCAGGGCTGCTGACTCGGCATCTGTTCGTCCAATGATAACAGTGGGAACATCCATGACGTCAGTAGCTAGACGAGCAGCGTTGAGGACCTTGATGAACTGTTGTGTTGGAAGAAGAACTTTGCCTCCCATGTGACCACACTTCTTTTCTGATGCCAGTTGATCTTCAAAATGGACGCCAGCTGCGCCAGCACAAATCTAAAATTGAAAAAGACTTTGTGAGTAACCAGAGACCTGGCAAAATATAAGCTAATGTACAAAGGCTATCAAAAACCGGGGGGACTCCCCTATAAAAACGACGGTGGTGTTCGTCGAAAATTTTGAAAAGAACCCCTATGAGGTACCCCCTCTTGTGTGGCCATCATGGCTTGAAATATTTTTCAAACCTACGAGGTACCAATTGTAAAACAACACATTAACTGAATCATAATTTTTAATAGCAATAAAGACGATTGCTTCAATTCTACTAGTAAAGTTAATTATCAAATACCTCTTGTCATATTTTTTTGGTCTTAATACCCTGAAAGGTGCAGTGAAGGCTCCAGCTGTGGACCTTTTGAGGCTGAACACCCTTAGAGGGACCAAAACCGCCTTACCTTACCCCTAAAAGGTGCGACGAGCACCCCTGTCCTTTTTATATGCGAGTCCCCCTCCCCACCCCCCACCCCCCTTATCAAAGTTAAACTAGGTAGATAAGAATTATGGAGTAAACAGTACACTCGATTTTCTTGACCTTTTACATGTTTTGGGGGCCTGTTAGCCTTCTAACTCGACGGATCCAAGGTTAAATTGTCGTAATTTGAGTGTTCAAAATGTATGACGCACCAAACGGGACAAAAATGCTTCATTAAAATATATACTTTTTGTTCTAAATATAGAAAACTTGCTCTAAAAAGAGATATAAAACTTCTTTCCAAATAAACACAACATCTTTTAATTATATAATACTTCTTAAAATGTGTACGAAGCCGTGCTATTTCTATATATACACCTTGAGATAAATGATTAAAACTGAATTTTTCTCAAATATTCGCCTAGCTACACAAGTAGGACTTGCTTTATGAAAAACCTTTTCTCTCAATATTTATATCTCTTAACATTTTGGGTGTAGAGGTCACCGGCGTTTTGACAATTTTGGATCGATTTGTCATTGATTTGATTCCTGAAAGTCGATAACAGCAATAGCGTCCAGGACCCTAACGAAAACTTTTCCCGTCAAATCACTGTGATCACAGAAGGCTGGCTTTACTGATATGGCGAACGAAGGCGGCAATCCCGACGGACAGGCAGATCTCCTTGCTCCATTTGTGATGGAGCGAGACGAATATTGAAAACAGGTTTTAAATTTGTCTCAAACTGTATATATAGAACAAGGTTCTTACACATGTAAAAATGTACTACATATCGAAAAGATGTTGTGTTAATTTGGAACTGAAGCACTAAATATTCACATTTGTATTGTGGCTGATAAAGTTGGTTGAGCCGAACGAGATCTTTCACTTTTCAAAAAGATTTTTATTGCGCCCTGAGTACAGTAAATTGTTTCAGAACAGGAAAACAATATTTCTGATTGTAAGATTTCTATCTTTAGAGCATGTTTTATATATTTTAAACAAGTATTTTTCTCTCCTCTAGTGCGTCATAATAATGAAATATAAAAGTGTAATTTCTCACCATTGATTTGGTGAGTTCAAAGGCGTTCAGCGGCCCACCAAATCCAGCTTCGCAATCAGCAACAATGGGCAAAAAGAAATCAATGTGTTTATCAGATTCTTCCATGTGAGCTATCTGATCCGCTCTAATGAAGGCGTTGTTGATTCGTTCAACAAGTTTAGCGGCTGAGTTGGCAGGATACAAACTCTGATCAGGATATGTCTGTCCAGCCATGTTGCTGTCTGCCGCTACTTGCCAGCCACTCAGGTAAATGGATTGTAAACCGGCCTTGGCCATCTGAACTGCTTGACCGCCTATAAAAGGGCAAGAACTTCATGACTCGTCATGGTTTCACTTTAAACTGAAAGTACTTGAGAGACTTGATCATTGATTTAAAAAAATCATTACAGAATTTTTTGAGAAAATTCTGTTCTAGCCTTCTTAGACGACTGTTATTATTCGACAATTAGTTATTTCCTTGGGAAAATATTATGAACCTATTTTTCCGCAACATCAATATATTGAGAAATGAGAAAGATTTCATGCTTAAATGATATTCTGATTTTGCGACTTTGAAAATTTGCAAGAGCTGATGTAGATTGTTGCGGTTCAGATGGTTATCTCTTACTTTTCAAAATAGAACAAAAGAAAACACTCAATGACAACGAAGCAGCCTGCTAAAATGTTTGCGGATGAAAAATTCAGGGAAGGTTTAAATAAAGCATGTTGTTGTTTCTTAAGTACATGTATTGCTTTCAAACTGATTAACTTTTCTCGTACCAGTCATGGCGCCGAGAGCATTCACATAAGAGTCTTCCCCTCGATTAATCAGGTCCCAAAGCCTCTCTGCTCCTCGTCTTGCTAAAGTTTGCTCAATCTTTAGAGATCCGCGAAGTTTTTCTACGGCATCAGGGCCATAGTCCCGTCGAATCGCTGTGAATCCATAATTACGGGTGCAAACTCTCAACACGACATTGACCTTGCTGAAAACTCTCATGTCTGCGGCGTGGTGTTCCTTGGCTTTAAAGATTAGACCTGTCTACTAACTATGTGAACTGCGCTCGGCAGCCGAAAAGCAACTGGAAAATACTGTCTTGCTTTATACTTGACGTGGCGATGACTCCGCTTATTTGGAAATGCGTGGGCGATGGCTCTGACGTCACGTTATCAAGGAAACAACTCTTTGTTAAGTTTATGAATTTTTTCGTACATTTTTCGACTAATCGTAAAACTTGGAAAGCGGTACTCGTCTCGAATTTCCTTGCCCCTTAGGAGTCAAATTTTTGGAAAGAGCTTGTTTGAACTCGACAGCTTATTGTTTTAGCGCACTAAACTGACGTTTTCTCTTGCTTTAGGCAGGCAATTACGTTAATTGGATGCGTTAACTGACCAATTTATGAAATGTTATTTGGCGTAACGAAAAGAAGGAACTAATACAAAACGGAATAACTTGAAGAGTTAATTTACTTTAAGACATTTCCTTTAGCTTCGATGACAATGCAGTTTGATTCAACTTGTTAATGAAACATGAGAAAATTGATGATGTCTCTTCTATAACGCTGTTTATTTCTCTGCAATCCATAGCTCGAGTCTTTGTTCCTTACTGTGCAAGACAGTGTGTAAGCTTGACTAAAAGAGCGCCCCAAACGCTGGTCAATTGGAACGAAGGTGGAAGCAATGAGGTTGCATTTTCTTTTCAGTGAACTGAAATAGCGACATGCGTTCGTCAGACAGTCGAGCTGAATTGCGAGAGTATGTGGAATAGAAACGACTTTAATAAATGAATAAAATTAAATGTGAATCAGCAGGCGGCAATCTATGGAGAGGATTTTTTATTTCGAATGTCTCCAGATCGAATTGGAGTTTAGAAATGTTGCTTTTTTTCTGGAGGGAGCGCGGGGGGAAGGGGAACACCGCTCCCATTTAAAAAGGATGGGGGTAAGCGTCGTACCTTTTAGGGGTTAAAAAGCAGATTTGGTACTGCTTAGTATGTTCAGCCTCGAAAGGACCACAGTGGAAGCTTTCACGGTACCTTTTAAGGTATCGAGCCGAAAAAAATATGACAGGAGATAATGTGTTGTTGGTACTTCTAAGGGGTGAAAAGCCACGCCCACGAAACAGGACCTTGGTATCTCTCAGCTTTTTTTCAAACTTTCCTACGAGCACCCCCGTTCCTTTTATGTGGAAGTCTGCCCCCCGGCGAGGGAGGAGAACAGGACATCCTAGAGTGAAACCCTCAGAGAAAAGTGCTGGGATATCGCATATTCCGTAAGTACCTTAAGCGTGTTAAACATACCAGACTAAAAAGTAACAACATTTAAGCAAATTTTTCCATTTTATTGATAGACTCTTCTTCAAATAAATTAGCGCATAAAATAATACTTCCGCCAGACACATATCAATGGTTTTTTAAATTACATGGACGCGTTAATCAACATGATCAATATTGAACTTTCTACAAATGCACACTCAAAAATGTCTTTAATCAATGAGAGATTTTTTCTCTTGTTTTTCAATATATTACTTATATTTTTCAAACACTCTTATTTATCTCAAAAAGGTATCTTTTACCAACAAATAAATAGCTTTTGCAAGCATCTTAGCGTCGCTTTCGCTGTGCTATGTACATATTCGCTAATTACAATCTTTTATATTAGTTCAATCTATTTTTGTTGTCAAACAAGCTAAATTTCGTATTGATTAACCTTTTTTTATGTACATTCACTTAGGTTATTTAGGTTAATTGATGTCAATGATTTTTCTTTCATCGAGCGTGTAAGTTATGTTGTTAATGGTGAACGGAAAACTTTTCCAAGTCCGAGTTTTTTTCAGTGAATTGTTCTTGTTCTGTTGATCCTTCTAACGCTGTTGTCGAACTTGTTCCTCCGCTGATCGCCATACTCACTTGGTCAAAATATCCCGTGCCTACCTCCCTCTGATGTTTGTGTGCCGTGAAGCCGAACTGCGCCTGCGCAAACTCGTCTTCTTGTACCTTGGTGTAGGCAGACATACCGTGATCTCTGTAGTCACGTGCAAGCTTGAACATGGCGTGGTTGAGCGAGTGGAAACCAGCCAAGGTAATGAACTGATATTTGTAGCCCATTTTACCGAGTTCTTTCTGAAATACAGCGATCTCTTTATCGCTGAGGTTGGCTTTCCAGTTGAAGGAAGGAGAGCAGTTGTAGGCAAGCGGTTTGCCTGGGAACACAGAATGGATTCCGTCAGCAAACATGTGAGCTTCTTCCAAGTCAGGTTTGCCTGTCTCGCACCAAATCACGTCGCAGTATGGAGCATAGCTTAGTCCTCGAGCGATGGCTTGTTGTAAACCTGCAGTTGAGCGATAGAATCCTTCGGGAGTTCTTTCACCAGTCAGGAATGGCTGGTCACGTGGATCAATATCTGACGTGACCAGGGCTGCTGACTCGGCATCTGTTCGTCCAATGATAACAGTGGGAACATCCATGACGTCAGTAGCTAGACGAGCAGCGTTGAGGACCTTGATGAACTGTTGTGTTGGAAGAAGAACTTTGCCTCCCATGTGACCACACTTCTTTTCTGATGCCAGTTGATCTTCAAAATGGACGCCAGCTGCGCCAGCACAAATCTAAAATTGAAAAAGACTTTGTAAGTAATCAGAGACGTGGCGAAACAAGATAGACCACCGCTCGATTTTCTCGACTTTTTCATAATTCTATATATGGTGACTTGTTTCACACTATTTAAGAGTTTTTTTTTGTGGCAAAGTTGGAACCGGGTCAAAAACGCGAAGCTTTAAGGTATAGTGGTTTTTACAAGTTAAATAGAATCTAGAAATTGTGGTTGTTAGTCTTCTAACTTGATAGATGCAAAGTCAAAATTATCATAAAACTTAATGTTCAAAATGGGATACAAAAATACATTTTCTTACCATTGATTTGGTGAGTTCAAAGGCGTTCAGCGGCCCACCAAATCCAGCCTCGCAATCGGCAACAATGGGCAAAAAGAAGTCAATGTGTTTATCAGATCCTTCCATGTGAGCTATCTGATCCGCTCTAATGAAGGCATTGTTGATTCGTTCAACAAGTTTAGCAGCTGAGTTGGCAGGATACAAACTCTGATCAGGGTATGTCTGTCCAGCCATGTTACTGTCTGCCGCTACTTGCCAGCCGCTGAGGTAAATGGATTGTAAACCGGCCTTGGCCATCTGAACTGCTTGACCGCCTACAAAAGCCGAGCAAGAACCTGATCAGTACTCGTAATGCTTTTGCGTTACATAACTGATTTAAAAAAAGTCATTGAAGGATTCTCAGTTTGAGAAAGTTCCGTTATGGCTGTCTTAGACGCCTTTTTTTACATGATAATAAGTTATTTTCACGAGAACATATTCTGCCAGAACTTTCGTTTTTCAATAACAATTGAGAACTGTGAAATAAAGACTAAAAGATTTCAAGCAATGAATAATCATCGCATTTCAAGACTTTGCAATTTTTATAAGAGCTAATTTGCTTATAGAATGGTCATATAGTTACCTCTCAAAATACAGCTGAACAAAACTTTCAACAACTGACGAATCAGATAAAAATATACAGGAAGGCTAAAATTTTCAGTTCTTAACAACTTGTTTTGCTCATTTTATAAAATATTTTCTCGTACCTGTCATGGCGCCGAGAGCGTTCACATAAGAGTCTTCTCCTCGATTAATCAGCTCCCAAAGCCTCTCTGCTCCTCGTCTTGCTAAAGTTTGCTCAATCTTTAGAGATCCGCGGAGTTTTTCTACGGCTTCAGGGTCATAGTCCCGTCGAATCGCTGTGAATCCATAATTTCGTGTGCAAACTCTCAACACGACATTAACCTTGCTGAAAACTCTCATGTTTGCTGCTTGGTATACTTTGGCTTCTGAAGATTTGACTTGTCTTCTGCGACTTCTGTGTGTGAACTGCGCTCGGGAACTGATGAGTAGCTGGGAGATATCGTCTTGTTTTATAGTCTTGCTCACATTCTGGCACGTGAAATGACTCTGCTTATTTGGAAGTGATGTGCGTCATAGCTCCGACGTCACGTCGTCAACGAAACAATCCATGTTAACAAGTTAACGCACTGTGTCGTACATTTTTAACTCATTCTAAAACTTAGTAAAATGTTCTTTTTAGAGCCATTGTTTCAGCTTTTTACCACCTTTGCCAGTCAAACTTTTCAGCAACTGCCTCAGCTGTTTTAGCCAAATAATAAAATTAAGTGTTATTGTACATGTTGCTTATAGGCATGTAATTATGTAAAACGTGTTTTAAAAGATAATTATTCAACCTTGACTTGTTTCCGAGACGTCATTTGGCGTAACGAAAAGAAGGAACTAATATGAAACGGAAAACGTTTAAGTGTCATTTTCTAAAAGGTATTTTTTTTAACAAGAAGTGAATGTGACGAGGCAGTTTTAAAGCACATTCCATCACACGTATTGCGATGTTATTCCGAGTAAAATCAACCAATGTATGAAATCATTATACAATGCAGAGAATGAGAAACAAGTTAACTTGTCAGAGAGAGGAATGTCCCTTGTCCTGAGCAATACAGAACGCCCCAAACCGACTTAACTTGTACCAATATCGCATGGTTCGTGACCTCAGTGGCAGGGGTGGCCGGTGGAAACCAGTGGGAGGTGTCGAAATATTCAGCGAGAGTTCCGCCTTTCTATGCCCAAAGTAGTGTCAAAGCTTACTCAAACAATCAACAGTCCGTGCTAATAACTACAGGGTGATTCGTGTCTTTCCATTATTTTTGAGCAGATTTGAAGCCCCGTATATAGGAAAATGTCGCTAAATGTTCTGTTTTTTCTGTGAGAATCTGTGAGGCGTGACCTGTGTCTTATAATCTAAAACTACTCGACAGACTTTGTGAAGATGTTGTATTGTACGTTTAAAAGGTCACTGGGGGCAATTAAAAACGATAAAAAGTTCGATTAAGAGTTGATCTTAGAGTTGACCAGTTAGAGTCTTGTTTCTAAATTTTCAAGTTACCCCCACAATTAAACTTATTCAACCCTACTGCGTTTTATATTATCTCTCAATCACAGCGCCATTATTTCGTAGGTCAGTCAGTACTGTTAATGTTACGTGCAGAATTTTGAGCAATTTTTTTGTCAATACAGTGCGTGAGATTTTTTTATGACGGTACTCGAGTGTAGCTCGATTTCCGTCACACTTGACACCGGGAAAACAGAACTAGGGGGCAAGCAGATCTTATTAGATATCCTGCGGACGATATTATTGTTTGTAGTTGCTATAGTGACCTTTTGTGTATGAGAGATCAGTGGCAGTCGAGAGACAAAGAGAAGAGACTTCAAATGAATAATCCCTGAACAATATCACAAAGTTAAATCAATGTTAAAATAAGAAAAATATTATGTAGACTAAAATATGACTAACGCTGAATATCATTTGACGTCAGTGGCATCTAAGTAAGAGCAAGGAAAATAGTTGGTTGTTAAGGTCATCTGTTATGGTCGCTACTAGGGTGCACGCATTGTTTTAGCCTGTGTCACGTCACTGTTCTTCGATTGTACGTACGTTACATGCTGTGCCTCAATTCTGTGTCACGTACTCTTCTTGCTTTCTTGCTTTCATTAAGAATTGACATACGCTGATCTCAGAAAACGATTATCAGAAATGTACGTAAAAGAGCTTTGCTGCTGCTGCTCAGCAACAAAGTAGGCTTTTATGAAATGCCTGCCGAAAGATCTTTTTGCATTTTCAGTTCCATTTCTTTCCTGTCCGCAGATGAAAATTGTAAACGACTAAGAAATAACTTTTGTCGAATGACTGCAAATAGTTAGGGGCGGCTGAAGGCATAAGAAACGTTAACTCTGACAGGCACAGTTCGTCCATGCTCAAAGGTCCCCAAATGCTATGGGGGGTTGCTGAATACTAAAGTTGATATCCCACAAGGATGCTTAAGTACTTTTCAGCCCGGTTGCTTTATGTTTTGCTACCTCAAAGTTATCTTTTTTGCATTCTACACAGTTTAACGGTTAGCAGTTTCACTTGTTTGGCGGCTGTTCCTTTCTCCTCCGCAGGTGCTACGGGCCTCTGCGAAGGAGAAAGCAGTTGCTCAGTTTTGGTGATTCAATGTACTTGATCAACAACACCTCGGTGAAAAAGTGGACATGCCGAAATTCACAACTCTTAACTATAAACTGGGCCACTGGAGAAGATCAGAGCCAGGGCAATCATTGAAATAGTTGTTGCCTTTCATCACTTGGCAAGGTCACTGCATTTTACAACAAATCAACTGGAGAAACGTGAAAAGGCGCGCGGAAAATTGGCGCGAAATCCTGAACACTGGTCGGACGTGTGATAATGTTCCTTACGCGTGCCGTAAAGATTAAAACTTTTATGTGTTACAAGTCACGTTTTTTTTTTTTTTTTTTTTTTTCTATTCCTTGTCTTGAATCTGTACACCTTCCTGATAAATGCAATATGAGAGATTCCTTTTAAAGTTTAGTATATATAATACGGCTATGCTTCTCTGCTGATTGATTTTGATGCCTTTCATTTTCAATGTGACNGTTTTTTTTTTTTTTTTGCGATAGCTAAACACTTTCAAATTGAAGCCGAGAAACCTCATAGTCATCAAAGAATAGCTTGCTTGGGTATATAGAAACACCGTCACCTCTATAAGTAAAGCTCCCCTCCTAAATAATGAGTTCTCCCGACTCTCATGATCAGTGGAATCGACTTTTTCAAACTCCAGCCAATTCGGCAATTGTATTAGTGCACACTGAATGTTAACCCAAGGCAAATTGTCAGACAAAAAAGAAACAACTGTTCTTTTGAGATGCCGACGTGTTGTTACAATTCTCTGCCGTCACGTTTATGTTCCATGGTTGTTGTGGCTTTTTGAAAGGAAAAACAATGGTTAAACGTGAGTCTGTTCAACAACCTAATCACGCACACACCAACCCGTGTAGCCCCGGTCCCCTCTCAAACACGCGCCCGCTCTAAAGTAACGTATTTTAGTAATTCAGACACTGTAAGTCCCATGTTTGGTTAGTTTGCTAGCATATGAGATTATAAAATAAACGTTGAGAAAGAAGTGTAAAAAGAAAACTACGTGATCCATTAATCGGCGGTCTAAAACGTGACTGGAACTAATCCTTTACGGATATCGGATCAAGTGACTCGACGTCACGAATCGTAGCGAGGGTAATTTTCATATTTATTCGGTAGAACTGACAATTTAAATCTCAAAACTGACAGCCTGCCTTAGTGTACGCATTAGCAGCCTGGCAGCGATATTTGAAATCCCGAAGTTGCAAGGTAGATAGCTGTTCAGCCGAAAACGTTGAGCCAATGGCTATCAGCAGTTGGAAATTATTGCAGCCCGTCTTCAGGGTGAACCAGCAAACCTATCGATACTTGTCGGGTATACGGAAGAGAGAGACGATGGCCCTTTCGCGATCGAAACGTGCGAGGGGACCTGACCGCGGAAGTAGAAGGTCTAGTGCCACAGGATTTCAAAAGAACGAAATTCGTCTTTCGCCTGGAAAAGACTCGTACACAAATGAATTCATCGTCACAGGTAAGCGATAAATAAGAAAGGACTCCGAGTTCATTGGACTCAGCTCAGAGGGTACCTGTTATCTCCAATTGGAAAATTATTTCTCTCTTAGTCTTCCCTTGTTAAGAAGTTTCTCGTACTGTGCTTGACTGAAAATATAATGACAGCTTTTTCTATGTTTACGTTTTTAAAACGGTTTAGTCCAAGAAAGTGATTTTGTTAGTTTAATTAAAAATATTTTATACACTCAGCTCGATGAAGATTTTACTCCCTTGTGGCATACTGTGATTAAATCATTAAAACTGCAGATACTGATACCCTGTACGGTATTCAAAGCAAAAATTTCTCAGTCCAGCAAAGCAGAAAACATAGCATAAATTATATTGCTAAACTCTCATGTGAAAACATGACATTGGGTCTAACTACACGTGAGCAGTTTGAATGCCTACTACTTTACATAAACGGTGCAGTGTCAAAGTACGAAATATCGAGAAAATAGCAAGAAATATCATTTTCGACTTGATAGAACTTGTTTAGCTATATATGAAGGCGATATACAAAAGTTGACTGTATTTGTTTGATGCGGGCATGAATTGGTGCATGTTCTCGGTTCAACAGAGACAACAATAGCCTGACTGTTATATGCATCAGAAGTTCAAGGCCCCGTCCACACGCAGTATCCCGATATTTTTCAATCCGCAACTTTTTCTTTCCGGATACGGCTTCCGTTCACACGCATCAGGCGAATTCGGCAGCGAATCCGGATATTTTCTCTACGTGCCGGGACGGGGAAATTTTTGAAGCCGGAAAGAAAAAGTTGCGGATTCTGAAATATCCGGATACGTGTGGAGTCTTGACGGGGCTTTAAAATTTCTGTTTTTCTTTTCATTTTGAAATCGTCCGATAAGATTGTGGAAAAAAAATTTAAAGCAGTTTCAGAGATACTAGGTAACCAAAATATGCACATCCAAGGATTGTTTGACAAACACAAATGATTGAAAAAATATCATTGCACAGGCATAATTATTTGCCTACGTGCAGACGTCAATGAGCGGGTAGCGAAGTTTCATATCGGAATTTTTCTTAGCTTGTTGTGTCACAATTTGGAATGGTCCGGGTGACAATGACAGGGTGTTTCATTACATTGACTTTTTGCACCTCAAAAACACTCTCCTCTTTTCTCTCTATATCCAATGAGGTTAATATGTAGAGCAAGTTTCTTAGGAATTTTTAAGCAGCGAAAACTGTTTTGATTTCTCTTAGGCACAGAGAGAAGAAATTGTTTTAAAAAAATGATTGGCTTATTGATTGACTGATTTTGCTTTTGGTTACTGACTAAAATTACTGAAACATATTTCTATTGAGTTATACTCATCAGAATACACCATATATCCCTATTTTAGCGTCAAAAACCGTCTCCATATGTTTTATTTATTCCACTCCATCACCCCTACACCATACACCCGCCCCCCCCCACCCCTGCCTGATTGTGCTAACAATCAGTGAGCGTGACTGAGGTTTTCAAAACGGAGTATCTCTTTCGATATTGAACGTCCCTCTGTCTTGTTTACCATGACAGGTATATTAATTAGGAATATAAAGCTGGCTATAACAAACTTTGTCAGACTACAATTACACTTGCACACATTTATTCCGTAAGGGACTGGGTTAGCCAGTTCTTTAGTAGGACTTTATTAAAGTGACTGACTCTTAGCTTCACAGAAAGCTACTTTACAGGTCTAGTCACAACAGTCATTGTTTCACCCCCGACATGTGTAACCTGTTTTAGACTAACTTGGAAAAACAAGGATGTTTTTTTTAATCTGTTATCTAATGATTGAGAAAAAACATATAATTTATATATTTTTTATTTTGTTTACTAATCAGAGATCTTCTAATTAACAGGTTCAAGCTTATCCGCTGGAGTTTCCAATGTTGGATCATCGCCTGTTGATTTGCCTGGAACCAGAGCCCACGAGCTTCCCTTATCAGGAACCAGAAGTGGATTAGAATGCAAGACATGTTTAAATCTTATGCTTTTTGGCAAGAAGACAGCAAGTTCAAGAGCTGACCGAAAGGACTTCACTAAAACAAAAGAATCGCTCTGTGGACTCTTATTCAACTGTTATGTAGTCTGCTTGTTCGTGTTCGGTTCAAATGTTCCTTTACTAAGCTAGGGTTTACAAACCGTTTGTCCTTTATAACTAGGTTCTTAGGATCAGCGTTGTGATTCCTTGAGGAAGGCGGGGGAACTTCCGTACGGATAGGGTATAAAGGGGATAACCTAGTCCTGTATGCCCTAGATTTGCAGGGTATGACATTTGAGATGTTACAGCCCGAAAACGTGCCGTTTTGGTTTAAAATAAGTTGTCCTTTATAAAAAAGATCAGTCATCGGGAAATATACCTTTAAACTTGCAAGGGAGAAGGAAAATTGTTCTTAGAAACATTTGATGACCAGGAGAAATTCAATCAAGACTCGGTTATCGAAGCAACACGATGCGTATGTTAAAGACAGCACTTTGTATATGTGTAAATAGTTAAAGCCGGTATGATCGGTTTATTAAATATAACAATATTCTAATATATTCTCTATTTCTCGCCGTCAATAAAGAATTGAAAGACGAATAGATTGGCCTAGTTTTGAATAAACTAATTCAATCACACAGTTTGTGCGGCCACGCTTCTGACGCTTCCTCCGAAGGGTAACTCTTTACTCCACCATGTAACACGCATCATAACCCACAATCCCCCACTTTGCCCTGACAAGCGACTAAATGATTCGAAACGTCAGCTTCACAAATTCACTAGGGGGGTTAATTTACCTATAGCAGTTTCAAGTCGATAAATAGATCTATATTACAACGGGCGTGTAAACGAGGATGGCAAACGATGAAATGCGCCCGTGATTTTCTTTAATAACTACCTCAGGCTGGTACAAGGCGAATTGCGAACAGATTGACAAAGTTACACGAAACTATTTTGCTGAGTGCGTCTCAGCTTAGCTTCAGTTTATAACTTCAAGTCTTTATGCTTTATCCCCAGCAAACAGGCTTAACGTATACCGTAAAGTAAAGTTCAGACGCAAGCATCTAGGGACCTAGTAGTCGCTTTTGATAAATTCTGTACGTGGGAAGATTTTCAAGCACACTTGGCAGATTAAGGAATTTTCAAACAGAACTCTACCACAATGAACTTAGAAAACCATCGGTGACACTACGCACTCACAAAATAAGCGAAATTTCTGCACCAAGAATATAAAATAGGATCATTTTCAGGCTGAATTTCAAGTAATGACGACAACCAAAATTTGTATTTTAACTTGCCCGAGCAGAATGCAGAATGTAGTAAGCTCCCGCGTGTAATAACTGAGAGCAGAACTGGCAATGTTAACTGACATTGCCCGCAGGCAGAATTTCAATAAGCTACTAAAATAGGCCAATTTATCATGAGCAAATTATAGGCAAGCGCACCATGTAGACGACCTTAAAATCCATTGAGGTTTAACACGCCTTCCCAATCTAAAAGCTCGGAGTTAATGTATGGTGACGGAACATTTTATTATTTCCTTTCGCTGCGTTGTACATCAATTGTATTTTAGTCTTGCCTCAGTTATATTTGTAGGCTGATAGCTCGGAACTTTGACCGATTCTCAGCCATCGATTAAACCCCATACAGCCCCTCCCCTCTCCCCCTTGCATTGACTCGCAGTCTTTTCTAACCAACTCTACGACCTCTACGTTTCTAGTCTTTGTAAGGTGAATGTTAAAATTTTGTTCATGATACGGCGCACTCTGGACTGATAATTACAAAATTGGAGGCGTTGATGTGCTTTTAAAGCCGGTTATGGAAACAACTAGTCATAAATAGTCTCTTAGACCGACATAACTGCATCGCCGGCAGCAATTTGGAGAGGGGCCAATGATTTACAAATATCCTAACATAATTTATTGCAACTTATTACTCACAATGCAAACGTTTGATTGTCAACATTATAGCAAGTCATTGGACTAAATCGTCAAGTTAAATAGAGCATTGTAACCGTGATACTGGGTTGTGTGCGTGAGCAAATTTGCAGCATTTTCTGGAGCATGTCGAGCCTGTAATCCTAGAAAACCACAGGTCTGCTAACAGACCAGAAAAAATCATTAAATCTGGCACTTTGTTTGATCATTTCGATCTAGGCAGGAACTTGCTCGTGATTTTTAAATTATGCTAGGTTTAAAATTGGCATGCGGCTTTTCTTGGCATTGCCAAGGTCGCTTGTTAGACAAAAGCACTGGTCTTAAGGTACAGCGATATGCTAAAACGGCAGACGCTGTTTTGTCTTCTAAGTCAGTTTAGAGCGAAAACGCCTAGCATAAGTTGCCAAGCAGAACCTCCCACTCACAAAACAGGGTGTAAGTTGAAAATCAACGTTGTTTAGAATCTTGATCCAAATCGTTGAGTTTTTGATATCCTGATTATCCCAGTTGTAGGCAACAGAACAAAGGCTTCGTCTTAACCTGTTTCACTGGTCAATTTAGAGTCAATGACTGACTTTTAAAATCCATACGCTGAAAGTTAGATGACTCTTTATGGCTATCAATGTTTGGGAAATGTTCCAGCCCGTCTTCAGGAGAAACCGGCATAACTTCTTGTTGGTGATACGAAAGCGGGGCATGTTGACTGTTGCAAGACGTTATCATGAGAGAACAGCCACCCAAACTACCGAGCAGTTCGGTGCTGTAGGATCTCAAATGAAGGAAACTGCTCACGACAGGGAAGACTCGAACAGGAATAAACTAGCTATAACAGGTAAACTTTGTTATTACAGACCTGCATGGCTGCAGGAACCTGCACGAGTTGTATGGACATTTCGTCCACGTGGTTCATACTTTCTCATTACCTTAGACGAATTACTCCACTAATATTCAAAGTTCAAGATGAGAGATTTATTCAGAGTATTTCAGTATATATGGAACATAACCCTAACAGAAATATTGGAAATGTTTAAATAAGAATTAACCTCTTGACTCTGATTTCGCGTTTCGTGACATTTGAAAAGGTTAGTATAGAGATAGTCGACGAACGACACGATATCTTCAACATGTCAGAGACAGAAGAAGGCCCTCCTGAAAGTGACGAGCAAACATGTTATTATTTCGTTTATTGATATCAGCGATCTTCCATTCAACAGGAGATAAGCACTTGCCAGGAGTAAACGAAGAGTCTTTTGAATGGACCAGAAGTCATTTGGACAGCAGTAAAGTTCAACAGTGTCGATGTTTACATCTTGACGAGGACAAATCAAGCCCAAACTCTGATCGAAAGGACTTAACTAAAACAAAAGAATCACTTTGTGGAATTTTGTTTTATTGTTATGTTTTTTGTTTGTTATTCTTCGGTTCCAATGCTCCTGCAGCTTAACTAGAGGGCCAATGAGGTCCTGAAACAGATAAACCGTGGAAAATTAGCCTTGCTACCCCAGGAGGAATACGGTTGTTCCCTGCAAAGATATCATGTGATTGCTCTCAATATATGCGCCGCCCCTAGGCTCATTGTAAATGTTATTTTTTGACTGTCACATACAGATTTATAGATCTTGTTTTAATAGTACAAAACCGATTTATCAGTATAGAATATCCATTTTTAAACACCGTATAAACTGAAAACTTCAGTTTTTAATCTTCTAGGAAAGAAAACGTACAGTTATCGACCTAGTCAAAACAGTCAGTTGAATTGATTGCATGTGTAGCAACTCAGAGGATGAACAGAGTGTGTGTGAAATTCAATGGCTACAAGTAGTTTTGTGAAATATAACAGCAATGTAGCCTCACTGAGTGATAAATTAAGAATACTTCGCACCTGTTGGAGATTTTTCGTGAACAAAGAAGCGGAAAAGAGGAGCTTAGAATAAAAAGTGAAATGAGCCCATATCGCGTGTGTGCTGCGCGCAATATTTTCAGAGGTAGACAACCAAACTCCCTGAGAGGAAGCATCTTAACGTATCCTAGGTCTTGGACTGTAAATTATCTCGTAAAAATAAATCACCATTTGTAAATATACACAAATGAGAATTATAGCAGTCTATATGATCTGAGAAGCCGATATTAACAATGGGAATCCTTAGGCGAAGTAAAATAACAAATACAATACGATAGGACGTCTACATTAAATCGATAACTGGAAACCGTGAAAAATTGTTCAGTGGGTATAAAGATTTTTATTGGTCCGGATTTAAAACTGCATTTCCAGAACTGAAACTAGTTCTTTCATCAATAGCAAAGGGTTACACATTCCATAGTTTAGGTCAAATCAAACACAAGTAAAAGGTTTGTGTTTAGAGTGACAATATATTAAAATACAAAAAGCTATCGGCTGTTAGACGAGAAAGAAAAGGGAGTAATGCGTTCAAGCCTGCAGTGGAAAGCGTCCTTTGATATTTTGCCTTCCTTAACCGCTCTTAATATTTCAAATGTTACTATTGTTAGGAAAAGTCAAATTAATTCAACCAAGCAACCGCGCCATTGCAATTTGCACGTGCAAAAGTTGAGGCGTGACTTTTCTTTTGCAATCGATCGCGCAACTCATTTGCATTTTACCCTCTGTTTCTCGTGGTCGGACTGTTTGGCTTCTTGAACGAAAGAACTACGAAAGTGGCTGACAAATCAAGGTTAATCCTTGTGACTGCCCGGGAAAGCTCAAAGCAATGCACTTGAAGTCCTGATATCGACCAACAACCCACCGAGCTCATTCATTTCTCAAGAAAAGGTAACTGATACTAGAATTATTTAACTTGTTCGACATGTTTCGAGAATAATAATGGCTGAAGTCGTACAGTAGAGACGAGATGAATTAAACATGTAGTTGTTTAACAAAATGTTACACTCAGTTCTCCTGACTAAAGAGTGAATTTAAATTTTTTCCACAAGGAACCATTTCCAGGTCAAGATGTTACACCGCATTCAGCACCAAAGTTCGAATTTTTGAACTGATTTTGGCCAACACGAAATCTTTTGCGGCAAATGAAATTAGAGTTAACCCCTTGCTGTGTATTAAGTCTGTAAAATGATTGTCAGCTTTCAAAGACCACAGAACGTTCTGCAACATTTTTTCTGTTGTTTCTGGGCGGCTTGAGTATAGACTTGGAGACAAGAACTCAAGCTCGCTAAACAGATTACGCTTGCTCGATTATCCAGTTTCTCATAAGAATGTTTATAAAAGCGACATGACTCTTAAAATTTCAAGTATGGGAGGTCAGCACTCTTCAGCGGGATTTTTTTAAATTTGCTGTAGCATCAAATGAATTTTATACACTGTACACATGCAATATCCACGAGGGGTCAGAACTGTGTTACAGTTGTTAAATGGGTGATATTTATTCATTTTCCTCTCTGTTTGTTTCACTTTCAGATGAGAGAAGTAACTAGATAAAGAACAGGACTGGCTAAAAGATGGCAACAGCATTGAATTACGCAATGGTAAGCCATGTTGAGAGTCACCTTCAGGTTACTTTCTGATGTGCTTCAAGTGCAAAGTATGTGACAATGAATGTTAAAGATCAGCATANTCAGTAAGAGATCATCAGCCCATTTATATAAATCTCCTTGAAAGCTGTTTGAATTAAAAAAAAAAAAAAAAAAATTTACTATGTATATCGTATGAGATCATTATAATTAATTTAGCTGAACAGAGAAAGTTCTCAAGTCACATGTCATGGCAATGTTTGATATCAAAAGGAATTAATGAGATCTAGAAGGAAAGGTGTTAAAGTACAAATCAAACTCAATTTGTATTTGTTTTTGTTTTTGTTTTTGTTTTCTTTTTCTTTTTTTGCAAATCAATCAGTACAAGCAATGATATTCGCTGGTATGACGTAAGAGTTAACTGTCTCCAGAGGCGACGCTTAAGGACCCCAGGATCGTTGCCAGGGATATCTATATTCTTGCCTTTCGATGGATATTCTTCAGTCTGGCTAGATAGTATTTAACTCATTTTCTGCCTTGTTTGATCTTGGTTATTTCACTTCTAGATGATCAAGTACAGTGAAAGAAGTATCTTGATGAGGCGCAGGGGAGGCTAAAGAAAACAACTGCGAAGAATTACGCGAATGTAAGCTCTAGAACTCATGTACACATGCTAGCCTGCTACCTGTGATCTGGTGTACTGATGTGTTGCAAAATATCAGATCTGATCCATTTTGGGAAAAGTGACCCTAATTTCTCGCGTGAACGGAAGACTATATTTCGGAATTCGTATATAGAAATAGAGGGGATTTAGTTAATTTATCGCCATGGCCACGTTTTGATATCACAAGAACGAGAAAAGAGGTTAAAAGTGCAACTGAAACCAGTGTCTAAACTTGTAGAGATTTGAATCGTTTCAAATTAAGCAATCGTGTACAATTTTACAAGTAAAAGAACGCAGAATTGATAGCTAAAATTCAGACACGTTAACTGTCACTAGGAGATAAACTCACATAGCCTACTGGTTAAATCACTCATTTCTCGTTTCATGTCTCGAGTTGGTTTCTCCGACGGTTGAATTAAATTTTAATCTCGGTTCTGAACATTTCTTAGTTTACTTAGGCAAGAAGGATTCCTGAGTTTCAGAAAGATTTGTCTGTTTACTAGATAACAGCCAGAAATAATAAGTAACTCGGCAAGTGTTCTTCGACTGATCCTCGTCGCGATATTTTATCTCGCAGATCACTCACGGTTTGGTTTCTTTTTTAAAATTTTTATTTTCTGTTACTACAAAGACGACGTTTTAGCTTGTGGAGTTTTGACCTGTACCAGGCGAGATTGTTGTCAGCAAAGTGCTTCACTAACAAAAATATGATCGGAATGTGAACGAGCATGTGTCGGAGGTCTTCCTAAAACAGTTGTCCATTTGCTCTCAGTTGAATTTTCTTCATCAAGTGATTAAAAAAAAAAGCTTTTACTTCTCTTGCGTCAGCCAAATAAGATATTTTTCGCTGAATTTGATAAACACGTTAAAAAAAATTCTGAAATAATTTTTGAGCGTCGACACGTTCCATCACACGTCATCCGCACGTGCAGTAGCTTAGTAGCACCGAGGATAGTTATAAGTTTATCTTTTCGTAAATAACATCATGTTATGTATAAGTGAATTTTTTCCGCGAATTTTTTCAGTCACTTTAAAGAGAGCAGAGTTTTTCCCACCAAAAGATCTAGTGTTTCTACGGAATCTTTTTTCGCCAAAAATCTTGTCTATGTTGCTTTTTAAAATTGCAACTTCAAGTGTATTTCTACATACAAAGAAACCGGAGGATATCAAGGATATGTATGCATAAGTTTAAATCTTTCCGTAAATAACGCCTTCAGAAGGTCATCAGCTGGGTTAATTTGTTTTGATGTGCCACCCTATAATCTGCCCAAATTTTTGGACTTTCTTGTTGGACTGTGTTGTATTGTGATCAACATCTATTTTTTTTGCTTGGATTAGTGATCATTACCATGAGCTTGTGCACAAAATAAAGACGATCGATATAGCAGATGTTGTCTCCCTCTACTACCAAACTCTCAGAACAAACATTAAAAGACTGTATATCCGTTAGGAGAATTTATGTTTTAATCTTGGCTCTGATGCAACAGTTGGCCAAGAGGATGACAAATAATCAGTTTATTGCTATAGATGTTAAGACGAAAGAAAGAACTATAGAGATTGCTGTTTTCACACAAATCACATTTCTGTGAGGAAGGACAAAATTTAATTTCAAGGTTTGGACAAATCTATTTTAGAAGTTCGTCGCCGACCAAAATGTTTTTTTTTCTTTTTTGTAAATTTACAATTAGTATTTGACATGTAAACAAGTTTATTCTGTCCGCATTTTAACACATCTGCTTATGTTTTCTTTCAGGCTTTGTTAGTACCGCTTGCTGATGTGGATGGATCTAGCAATACCAAGAAGAAAGGATTACAAACAANAAGACATAACGGGCCCAACAGCGCATGTCCAAATTATGTTTCCTTTAAAGGATAAAAAAATGCAGGGTATTTGAAGACATTTTTTCTGGGACGTAGATAAATAAACAATTAAAGAAAGTCAAACTCTGAGTGATATACCACGCTGCAATGAAAAATAATCGAGCTTATTTTGTTACGCACGGAGATTACCAAAAGTCG